TGAATATTATACTTTTTTTCAGCATGTAAGAATGTCAATGATTTTTCATTTGAAATTCTGAAATTGAAAGGCAGGTGCGTGTAATCCTGGGCCTGAATCTGGGGTTTGTTAGTTTAAGGTGATTGCAAAAATATGCAGTTAATTGGCACGATTCCGTAGGCCATACACGTGCTTTTGGTTCGAAAATAGATAACTGACAAAATAATTAGCCATAGAATACATAATAAGTAATTAACTCACTCTTATCAACGATGCTTTTGTTTAGATTCTTTGCAACAGCGCAATCACAAAGACTTTCTGGAGATAACAACAAATTTAAAAGGCAATTTGAATAACCCTGAGCACCACCATTTTGGAAAGTGCGAACAGAATAATGACATGTAAGCCCATCCGAGCATTATTTTTTATGGGATTGTAAACAAGATTTTTTTCAAAATTAACCTTAAGTCGATTTTTCGAAAGCATTTGCCATCGTGTCAGATATGCCCTTCTTTGTTTAGATGTAAAAAAAACACAACATCTAACTGTTCTGATGGGTTAGGGTTAGGGTCATAATAGTTGATGCGAAAATTTGAAATTCCACAACTTTCTAATTTTTCGTCTGATGAAACTATTACTGTTGAGGTTGTTTAATTTTCTCTATTTATTCCATTTAACTTGCAAAAGGGCTGGACTTGCCCTTTAAATGTACCAGCTTAAAATATGATTGGCTAATTCTTCAATTATTTAGTGGGCAACTTTAAATGAATCGTTTAGTGCAAACAAAAGAAAACATAAATAAGTATTGCATCATATGTTATACTCGCGCCGTTATCACACCGAATTGAGTCTTACAAATGTTTCAATGGTTAACATTGAGGATCGTCGTGATTTTAGTATCAGTTCAGTTCAAAGATATTCAAACATTCAAGTGCCAACCTTTCTAGACATAAAATAAGAGATCGGGTGGGCGCCATTTTGGCATTTTGATATCATGACATCATAACCTGCCAGTTGCATGAGCTAAATTTGTGAGATGGCTACACGGGGAACATTAAAGGGGGTTCGTTTGAGTGGAATTTATTTGTCAAAGTAATGTTTCATTATCAAATATAAATCGAATCTAACTTATTGTATACGTACCCGACTGAAACAAAGCCGAACTTATTTCCGAATTTAGCGGGCCACTGGAGTATTATTTTGTTGCCATATATGACTACCCGATGAGATAATAATGAAAATGAATATAATCATGTTCATTGGGATGACATTTGGATGAGTTCAAAAAAATGTAATAATTTTAATGATAGACCTACTCTTATATTGAATAAGTACATAAAGGTTTTTCAAAAATAGCTTTTTTGAAGACCACAGAAAAAATATTGAAGATCGGCTACATTACCCTAAAATTTGCATTCTAAAATAGGTTGAGTAAACTTTAGCTTATACAAGCACGAATGTTTAATTTTTGTTTGATATTGGATAAATTTACCCAACTTTTTAGAATGACATCTTTAATGAACAGAAATACACTTGCAATCCCAACTTCACCGCCCTCGATCCTCCTGCTCATGGCCAAGGCCTCGGTGGTCATCTATACCTTACTGGACCAGTGCCATGAACGAACAGGTGTGTACCGGCCAAAGAACCCACTCTGACTCACCTCAAGAAATTACTGGAGGAAATTCGATAGGAGCCGATATGGATCTAGGAACCGTTCCTAAATCTACATCAAGATGAGGAGGGCAGCTAGAAGAGGCCCAATCGATGACAGTTTTGAGTAGTTTTGCAATGGCAGTTAATGTATTCTGTTAAGTTTTTGAATTATCATACAAACACAATTCTCCATCGCAAACTCAATTTCTCCATCTCTCCCCCCCCCCCCCCCTCTCTCTCTCTCTCTCTCTCTCTCTCTCTCTCTCTCTCTCTCTCTCTCTCTCCACCCCTCTCTTTCTGTCTTCTTCCGTCCCTCCCTTCTTCTCTCCTCATCATTTTCGCCCTCTCTCTCTCTATGTCTCTCTTCTGTCTTTCTCTCTCCCTCCCTCTTCTCCCCTTGCCCTTCTCACTCTCACTCTCTCTCTCTCTCTCTCTCTCTCTCTCTCAACCTTTCCTTCTCTCCCTCTCTCTCTCTCTCTCTCTCTCTCTAATCACTAAAAGCGCAACCTTATTTCGAACCCATGTGCGAAAAACAATAACCTTTTGTGAAATGTATATTGTATATAACAGGTGTCAACCTTTGTTTCGTCCAGAATGGTATTTCAATCAGTCATTGTCATTTACACTCCAAAACTTGTCATGTCGCCAAGCCCCTAAAATGAGAAAAGAATATTAGTAATTAAACATTTCGTGAATTCAAGGCTTTCGAATATTATCACCAGCAAACTCTCGATGGCTGCATGCTGTGGTGATATTTTGATACCATCTGAATTAATCATCCCGTGAATAACTGGGTTATTTTAGTTCGCCCCTCTCTGAAATGGGATTGACGCGACCTATTCTGAACGGAAATTCAATTATATTTCATTTCGATGATGTTCGTGGTGATTTATTCGAACTATATCTGGACTAAGGAAGGCATGATGTATGAAAAGTGTGCCAACGAATGCGAACATACCGACTATAGTATATTTGTCGTGATCTATATGGGTAATGAGCTCCTCTTCAATACATATAGATCACCAAATCGTTTACAATTATACCTAAAGAACAACAGACCGTAGTTCATCTTACGACATGTTTGCATAAAAAGAAATGAACACTCTTTAAGGAAACATTATTTTAAATAATTATAATTGTTATTATCATTATCATCATCCTCATCATCTTCATCATGTTCATCATTGTTCTTATCATTGTTCTTATCATTGTTATTATTATTACAAATAAAATTAAAACTCTTTTGACATATTTAAGATAACATGAAAGTAATAGGCTACCTAATAGATTATTCGAAATGTTTCATGAGCCTTTAAGAGATATTTGATCACGTTGATTCTCAGAAAAGGGAAATTTGCAAAAATGGCATGCCTTCCTGGATCAACCATGTGACTCCATAATAAAAGATAATGACTACAGATATTTCAATATTTGCATCCAAAGGACAGACCATAAAGTTCCTTGAAAGTTTCAGTTAAACTTGTGTCGCTTCTTTGCAGGTCACTAGAAAATGAAACACAATTGATAAATTTGTTTAAAAAATATTTAAGAAACATAAAACTAATTAGTATCCTTAAATTAGATGAATACATTAATTATATTCGAATTTAATGTAAAATAAGACAGAATTAACCAGTAACATGATGATCAAATAACGATAGCAGTTGGTTAACAAAAAAAGCATATCTAAACATCTTTACTATATTTTATTTTTACCAAATAAACAGAATAAAAGGCGCAAGGCAATGCAAAATGCCGAACACACTGTCGATGATTAATTAATTTCGACTATTCATGTCACGAATTAAAGAAGTTAATATGAAAGGTCAATTATATCACCTTTGAACTTTTAATACCAAGTACCCGTACTGGCCTCTTGAAGGGGAGTCCAAATGAGATATTGCTGCGGAATAATCTTGTAGAGCACCGGTAAAACTATTCAAATAATATGAAGAAAAAAGCTTAAGTGTTTCGTGTTCGGTAAAATCCTCTAATCCCTCTGTATCATGTACAACTTCCTATGCAGCTCAGGTCGAGATCGGGGATAAAAGCTCAGAATGGATTTGGTCTGGATTTAAGTGCTCTGGAAATAAAGGCTTGAAATATTTTTCGCTGATCCGTCGATGATGTGTTCCCATTACTCATCTATCTATTTGGGATGCTCGGGTCATAGTAACAACGAAACAGACAAATCTCAGGAATTAGAATGCATAACTACTGATGTTATAGATTGGCTGTATCAGGATACACCAGAGGTATGGTTATAATTTCTACATATGTATCATACCTTTATTGTGAGGATTTGCGATAAATGTTTCAAGGTAGAAATACTAAACTGGATTCAAAATTAATGAAAGAGCGCAAATGTGTCACTATAAAGCTATGACCAAATTGTTATTGACATGATGAAAATCGAAGGACATGGTTTAAAAAAATCATAAACAAGAAAAATCGGTAACAGGTAGAAAAAGAACTTTCAACAACAAAATAACATATAGCTGGACAGGTAAAAGTCTATTTACACGTTTGAGTTGAACCAATTTTACACCAGTTGGGAAATATTATTATGAATATATTTACACGGATAATCATCACCATCGTCATTATCATCACCACCATAAATCATAATGATAAAAATAATAATATTAATAAATTTATCATAATAAAATCAATTATAAACATCATCATCATCATCTTTATTCATTTATCATCATCCTCATAATCATTAATGAAAATCATTGGATTAATGAAGCACTTTGTCATGAGCACAAAAGGAGCTGAATATGCATATTATCCCGACTTTAGCTGGGCTTAATTTGGTATAACTTTTTCTTCTGTATCTGTATCGATAATAAGATGGTATTATATTATTTTATATTAAAAGGAAGTTTCGAGAAAATAGTGGCAAATTAAATAAGTTTAAATTACATCGGCTGCCCGCAAGAAGGCACTAATAACGGTATATTGTCAATGGTGGTAACGGCCTTCGTTTGGGCAGCCGAATTTCTCATATATTTCCCCGTTTCTAAAATTGGAGAGTTTGAGAGAACCAATAGATGGCGCGCTTTGATCCAGCCTCTGTTTTTAAAAGTAGATTAGGGGGAGGGCACAAAGAGAGGTAACCTGTTACCCCTCTCTCGGAAGGCCCCCTATAGCAACGGATGTGCCTCTGATTCCCTTCATCATACGGTGACTAATCATAAACTTAGAGAGACAGAGAGGGAAATAGGATATATAGAGAGAGAGATGAAGAACGAGAGAGAGAGAGTGTGGAAGAGAGAGAGAGGGGGAGGAAGGGGGCAAATATTTCGGGGGATGGGGTCTAGCTCGTGGAGAAGAGGTGAAAACTTTAGCCTCGATTGACGCGGTATAAAAACCTTAATCCCTCCGTCAAAAAGCTCAGTTCGTGCCTTGGTTGATTCTGGAACTCATCTTCTTTCGTCTTCCTCTTCAATAGTTTGGGAACTTTATTCCTTTGTAACCTATCCTTTGTGGACTTAGGTGGAAAACTTTTTGATTTGATCTCTTCTTCCAAACTTGGAAACTACAAAATCCGATCAAAATGCAGCAATTCCTGTTCTCATGTGTCTTGATGGGTGAGTAAATGATCTTACTATTTTCATTTATCTTTTTTTTAAATAATTACTCATTGTTGAAGTTTACTTGTAAGGTCAAATCGAACTGATGACGTTTCAAAATGTTTTTGTTTTCTTCAATTATATCATGATTATGATTTGCTTTATTCTGGGTATCATGAATGATGTTCTTGGTATTACTTGTTTTTTTTTGTTATATTCATGGTGTTCCAATCACATGCTTTAAATTCCATGTTTTGTGCTCCCTCCTATTTAAAAAATATACATTGTTTGTTTGTTTTTGGTTTTATTTTTTATTTCTGCATTTTCTAAATAGAACATAATCATATACATAAATTAACAAATATTTCTTAATTTTACATAGTTATACATTTTTAAGTACATTAAATAAGATGCATACAAACACAAATATATAATTTCAATGAAAAAAGATAAATTACAGAGAACTCAGGAGACCGCCATCATTATCGGTAAGCTTGAAATCGATGGCGGCCTCGAGAGAATAGCGGCAAACTCTTAAATTATATAATTGTACACGCGAAATTGATCAAGTGGGTGCAGTGAAATGCATGTGCAAGTGCGAATGGGGACTGAGTGAATGCCTTCACATTACTGTGTGAACTGTATCGTAAAAATCACGAGATTGAAAACAATGTGCATTTATATATTTCCCCCCAAAGAGTCTTTTTAATTATGTGATTTTCCATTTTATTCTTACATTAATCTATGTCATTGAAATTCCTATATTCATTTTGTAAATTACATCGAGGCAAAGTTTACTTCATCTTGTGTGTCTTCTTGTATGACCCACGCTTGAAATATTGAGATTGATAAATTACAAATTACTGTTAACTAATCATCTGAAACCAAGAAAATGAATTAGTGTAGATCGGGAGCATTAGGGGGAGCAGACAGTCAATTCGAATAAAATCGGTCTTAATATCAACTAATCTTAAAAGTCGGGCGTGGTGATTAGTTAATCCTGAAGACTTGGATTAAGGCATCTTAATGACAACTCGAGAGAGGATAGGTTCAAAGCTCCTGAGCCCAAACGAAAATCAATTCATTAACATTCATGTTGTAGACGTATAATGAGCATGTTAATCTAATTTTAATTCTGTGGGTAGGCGATAACATATTTCTCGAATCCGTGGAGCGCTGTTGATGGAAATATCTTAAGGAATTCTGGTTTTGGATGACCGATTTGTCACAGACTTAATTCACAGTCTTAATCAAGAAGGAAACTTAATTCATTCTCCAGTCTCGCGGTTGGTAAATACGGATTAGCCAGGGGAATTCTGGCCGGAAAAACCAAGGAATGACACAGCTGTTAAACGGGCAAAGCGTGATTCAACAAGTCACCAGTTTTTTCTGCGACTTAGAATATGAAATATGATTTAACTTGTCTACTGTAAGTCTGTGACACTAGGTCAATTAGAGTGCTATTTCATTTTCTTTCAGTCCATTTAGTCCATTGAGTAACATCGTCCTTTTTAATCGAGTAGCATGAATATAAATTCTCTTCTGTTTTTCATTTCCAAGAAAGATATAAGAATGAAATCATGAAACCATGTGACTTTCTATAAAATAAAATAGTCAAGATAAAATAAGAGGCTTTAAAGACATCTTTTTTGCCGACGGTTTTTTTTTTAATTTTAAGATACGTCTACTCAGCTATAGGATAAACTTTGTGAAGGATTCTTCAATGACAATAATTTAGTTTATAACCACATAAAGATTACAAATTTTTCGTCTTTTTTTAAATATACACAAGAAGATGCATTCGTATAAAAAAGACATATAGGTATGTAAGAAGGAAAGAAAAATCTCATTTTATGGAATAGAAACGCTCCTTTTATCTGTTTGTTTTGTTTTAACCACCAATATTTGCAAAATGAGTAATTCATAAGATTTTCCTGTCTAATCAATCAAGTGTGTCTATAACTTTAATTTCCATAATTTTTCAGTTTTATGAGTTCCATTTATGACTTTTTTTAATTTACATTAGGCCCTCACTAATGTCATTTGCACAACGGTTGACAATAAAGCACTATCAAATGAATAATGCACAGTTAGGATAATCGCCAATCGTTGATTCACAGTAGTAGGTCCATGAGTAAACGTGACCTAACTGCTTCTGAAAGGAAACTCTCCTAAGCTTGTTTAAACTTCAGTAAACTTAAAGAAGGCTTTCGTATGCTTGTCATCACCTTCTTTAGGGGGATGCATTCGATTTTGAAGGCTGAATCCTGACAGAAAATGTGATAGTGTCACGTGCAAAATATGACGAAGGCATAAAACCCTGAAAAAAATATGTAATTCGTCATTTTATAAAAGAGCTAGTTTAATTTTGGCTCTGACAGATTTACATGACTCAATATGATGAATATAATGAATCATCCATTCCAAATAAAATAGCACTTAAATTAACGTCGAATATTTTGGATTTTGCTAGAATAATGTTCATCTTGCAAGTAAGTAAACAGCTATCATGGTGTTTTATTCTAACCCTTCCTAAATTCAGTGATCTTCTTTGTAAAATATGTCATGTAAACACAATAAAGATAAGCATTACCAAAATTAAATTTTTAGTTAGTTAAGTTAAGACTTTAAGTGCGCACTTAATGTCGATTCAATGAATGTTGTTCATTGATGTTCAAGTATATCCAACTCCATTGAAAAGGATATTTAAAATCCAGCTTGTTCGTTTGTGTCTCCTTAGATCATGATTAATGTAATCTTGATCTTCGGAGTAGTTGCTACAACCGGCCGTGTCAGACACGTTGCCCCGGGGTGCGAGATAGGACTCTTGTAGCGTGCCCCCATTTAAAACAATTATACAATAACAGTTAACATTACATTTAATTAATAGTATGAAACTATTAAAATTACTCTCATGGTACGGGAAAAAATATTGCATATATATATATTATGAATCATATTGATTTGGTCGATCGAATTCCATGGCACAAACACGGCACTACTGGACAGAGATTCTAATAATTACAGAGCTTAATGGTCTTGTTGCTCTGTTCGCCAGCAGTTTGAGGATATGGAATCCCGCGGCACATTACTCACAAGAGTTCTAACAAGCCAATAGAACAAAATCCAGCTGGTACGGTTGATAGTGGCAACAACAAACAAACAAATATTTCATTTCCTGGAGATGACATGACTTGACCATAAAATAATATTGGCTGCAAGACTCAGACACCGATAAGAAAAGACTGCAACGTAATATCATTTACTGCCTTGAGGATGTTTAGGAAATTCGTTGAGATTAGCTAGTCAATTTTTTATTTCGCATTTACAGTCATGCGCCATCTAGCGGCAATTTACTGAATCTCTATTGAAATCGAAGAGGAAGACCATTTGAATAGTCATGTACTTTTTTGTTGTAATTTTACAAGAAATCCCCTTGTCTTTATTAGCATTGCTGAATTTGTGTGTGTTCTGTATGTGTTTATTTGCGTGCTGGTTTGTCAATTTATTTGTTTGTTATTTTTTTTAATTTTTTATGTTATGGTCTGTTTTCTGTGTGTTTTGTAGACTGAACAGGCCTAAATTTAGTTTTTGCCTTTGTTATAATATGCTGTATTTTTACAATTGTGATTTTCTTCTCCATCTCTTCTTCACTGTGTGTATTTGATGCTCTCTATGATGTTTTTTTTTTGTTCATAATGTTTTCTATAATTAAGATTTCAAACTATTTAAAGACTGTTTCTTCATATTATTCGCTTTTCGTAACTGACAATTTATTTTCACTCTTTCTTTCCTTATTTTACAGCTTGCCTAGCCTCTTTCCAGGCTGCCCCCTTCGAGAACTTCGGCAACTTCGGTACCTACGGAGACGGCCAGAACGATCAATTCGACACACCCGACGCCATGGGCAACCAGTTCGGCGGTGATGTCAATGAGTTTGGTGATACCCCAGACTCACCAGACATGGTCGACTCCCCGGATGCAGCTGACTTCGATATCTTCGCCATGGCTGCCGCCGCGGCTGGCCAGGCAGCCGGTCAACAAGCAGCGGGCGGATCATCCGGTAGCGACGACAGCGGCGAGGCATACGGATCCATGGGTGGCGGTAGCATGGGCTTCGGTAACTTCGGCGGCATGGGCGGCGGTATGGGCGGCGGTATGGGTGGCGGTATGGGCGCCGGTTACGGTAACCCTGGTGCAAACTACGGAGGCTACGGAGGCATGGGCGGCATGGGCGGTTTCGTCGGCAACCCCGGTTTCGACCAAAACGACATGTTCGATAATGACCCAGGTATGCTCAACGCTCAACGCTCATCCAAGGGACGTGGTGTCGGAATCGCGATTGCAACCATTGGCCTGGTCGTCGGCGCAGCTACCATTGCCGTCGTCATCATCCGAAAACAGAGGCGAACCAACCAAATGCAGAGTTTAAACTAGCCATGTGTCACCCACACACACAGGACAATCTTGACTCTGATTTTTGTACGAACATTCATCATAGATAGCCTGAACATTGTTACGTCATTGCCATTTATATGTAAGCCTGCTCATGCGCAAGCCTATCTTCACGATTACTCATTTTTAGCACGCGGTTTCAGAAGAAAAGGAAAAGATAGTTAATGAACATTAAATGCTTTCAGCCTAATTAGGACGCCATCGTTTATCAACCTGCCTGCTGGTCGGCTCGTCACCTGTTCTTCAACTGTCTCAAAGTAGTATAGCGCCCTCTCATCTTCCAGGACTGTCATGTTCTAAATGATCCGAGATAAAGACGGGGAGCGGAAGGTCGTTGTACTTTATTGCTTGCTTTGTCTTCATCAACCAGAAGACAGTAAAACAATTGATTGCAATAACTTCATTAACGTAATGCTTCCATTCAACTTCCAACTATGGACCAAATCTACTTTTTCTACGAACCGCTTTTACGTTTTATTCATATACGACAAGCTATAGTGTATTCATCGGTCGTTTGGTATGACCTCTTTGTATATTTTTGAAATATAATCCGTCGTATGATATATGAGTTGAATAAATACATATTGGGTGATTATTGTTATTGTGTAAGCATATGACTTCATGAACCCGATTATTCTTTCTTAAGAAAATACTTGAGCGTCGCTGTTTTCGTTATTCATGATATTGTGTTGCATGCCTGTTTCATGTGTAGAGTATTTAATCGGTTCTTAATTCCCAGACCCTTCTATGTAGAGAATACACCACTGGTCGTGTTATATTTCTTGTATCTTACTATGGCGTAGAGCGAATAGTAGGCCCATTGCAAAGATCAGCTACACAAAAATGATCAACATTATTTCAAATCATTATTATGCTATTCAAACTATGTAAAGGACTTGTATTAAGCAGGAAACATGAAAGAAAAAAGGCATTAAAGTTCAGTTTTATAGGGCACGCTCATTGAATTTTTAGGGCATGGGATGAATTTAAATTGACAAATTGCAATTATTGCGTTGATAAGATATTAGAAAACAGGACTACGCTGTCGCAAGTAATAGGAATTATGATGAGATTAAAAAGAAAAATAGGTGGGTTGAAAAACCGTTTCCAATTGAATAAGGAAGAATCCATATCACAGTCTTTCAGAGTGCATATTAATGCAGGACACAGATTATTATAATCAAACAATCCTGTTCTCAGAGAGAGAGAGAGAGAGAGAGAGCGAGGAGGAGAAAGAGAGAGATAGAGGGGAGGAGAGAGGGGAGGAGAAAGAGAGAGAGAGAGAGAGAGAGGGGGGATGGAGAGAAGACAGATAAAGAGGGAAAGAGAGACATACATACAGACAGAGACAGACATAAACACATAACGAAATGTGAAGAGGGCCTATAATGAGACGGAAAGAGCGACTTCTTTAAAATGTGTCTTTGAAAAAGTTGGAGTGCAAAATACTCCGCTATCAAGACAATATCAAATCGAGTGATAAAATACAGGGGAAATTTTAAAACGATAGTTTTAAAGGAGGAGAAGGGTTAACAATATCTCATAATGACTTACTATTCACTAGCTGATTTTCAAAAAAAGTACATGAAACCTCTCATAACACCTGCATCACTCTTTCAACCATTCCATTATTCCATTTCATTCATTCAAATAATATGAAACATAACATGACAAGTGGTAACTCCTTTCAATATCTCATTTAAAAAGCCATCTTCACTGTCTTGAGTAGCTGTGTATCATGTAAACAAAGCGGTATGATCGCTGAGTCGATCGTCTTTAAACACCATCGTTGATGAGTCCTGCCGTGTCATCGCGTTCCATTAGGGTTGCGAGGACATCAAATTGGTAGGTAGTACGGGTTCCTTGTACTTGGACAGTGGCGGATCCAGGATTTTTAAATATAAGGGTTTAAATGTTGGCTCTCTTCACCCCCCCCCCCTGCCCCTCCCCTCCCGCGTCCATCTTTACAAGTGCAAGCTTAGAGGAGTTGAAGAGGTAGAATTCCAAGGAATATTTCGTCACAAGATAAATTTGTTGTAGTTCCCTCTTTCGATCTTTCCATTGAACCATATTGCCACCCCATTGCCGCCCTCACCCAAGCCGCCTTTTTAGGGACCGTAATGTTACCTCATGATTTTAAAGAAGCTGGAAATCGAATGAGTTAATTTTCTCATATTCATAATATTTGTAACGATAGGAGAGCTTTTATAATTGATTTTCTTTTTTTTTCTTTTTTTGTTGTAATCAATCAGAGCAATCACATCAACAGAACTACTACGATGATCAAAGGCAGGAGCATCTATAATATAAATAATATCATTTAGTGGTTGTTTTAGAAGCTGAAAATCAAACCTTTTAATTTTCTCATATTGATAATATTTGTAAAGGAGAGGAGTGCTTTAATAATTTTTTTTTTTTAAATCAATCGGAGCAATCACATTAACATCGATGGTGACAGGCAGGAGAGTGCGCATCTATAATGTGCATGATTATCATTTAGTGGCTGAGTATACCGTACAGAAAGGCATTAACATGATTAATGCACTAACTACGGTTTCGAACCCAGATCCTCCCGGTTCCATAACATAACTAACGCCCTATACCCCTCAACTATCGTGTTACTGTCTCTTCTTATGTTGGGATTTGTTCCCAATCATCAAGATGAAGTTATATACAACGTTATTATCATTTAAAAAAATGCACACGAAATGTTAACATTAAAACAAAATCCTTCATAAGTAAGGTTTGGGTTTTAATTATTTCATTATGATATTATACAAATTAAGGAAATCATTAGGGGTTTGAATTTATTCCTTTTTATTTCAAAACATCCAAAAACACAACTAGCCAATTTCCAATTTTTACACCTGATGAGCATAGAATTATATCTAGATTCCATGTTCTCGATTAAAATATTAATCTATTTTGTTAGAATCTGTTTTAAGGGAAGAAATATTGATTTCATCTTTAATATAGTCACAATATTTTTATCTCTGTCATTTATAGTCTTCTACCGCTCTACACCATCTAATATGAAATGTTCATCATCGTCTTCATCATGATTATCATGATCATTATCATCACCATCATTATCATCATCGCTGCCAGTAGCCCATCTATCATCATTATCATATATTATCAGTATAATACAGAACTTAGAACTTTAGGGTAAACATTTATGAGATATTTTTTGTATAAATCAAAGTAACGATCTCTAACAAATGAACTTATCGTTCTTATGTTTTACTAATCAGTATGATAAAAGCACAGTATGCGAGATTAATCGCGACAAAAGTTGCGGGAGATTCAGAGAAAGACTTCATACGTGAAATGAATTTATAGAGGGCCCGTTTAGCCGTCTGTCATCGCGGCAGTATATGGTCGTCCATCCCGCCCATTACAGCGAATTATCGAGTTTTAAGCGGGTGCGTTCCCGGCCCATTTTGACCGTCTTGACTTGGTGACTGAATCAGCAGAAGACTGCAATGACTTAACGACTCTCATTTCTGTCTATTATTAATCACCTAACGGGCTAGATCGATTGTTTATTACTTGGGATATAGTTTTACTGATTTGGCTGTCTCGCGATCTCCAGCGGGCTGCCGCAGCGGCTTTCTCATCTCTCCTCCGTCCATCTACACAACACACTACCCACAGTATCAGCTACGCAAGTCAGAGTAACCCGACACGCTAATGACTACTCCCATAGGTGACGACAACGAATCGTCGAAAGTTGACTAAAATGTTTGGGTAATTGGCTCAAATAGAGTGATTCTTCGCATTTTGTTTTTCGTGGTCTGTTTTTCCCTTCTTCTTCTTCTTTCACTCCCTCCCTCCCTCTCTCTCTCTTTCTCTTTATCTTTGTTTTAGTTTTTTCTGTCTATTAATCTACTGGTGGCGTTTGATGTGAGGAAGAGCCAACCCAAACCACCAGGGAGATGAGGGATGTTGTTATTACACCCTAGGAGGAGGATGGGAGGGATGGTGATGCTGATGCTGATGGTGGGATGACGCTGATGGTGGGATGATGATGTACCGGTAGGATCACGTGTCCAGAGCGAAAAAAAAAAAGATGAAAAGTGGGCAAAACTTAAAGAGGGACAGAGACAGGCATATGGATTAGAAGAGAAAGAGAGAGAGAGAGAGCGGGAGCGCCGCTGAGAGAGGATACAAGAAGAGCTCACTGTCTTGATCAGTCAGTAAATATTATAGAATAAACAAAATGCAACAGTATGAGAGCGAGCGGAAGCAAATGCACAAGATTGCAGTCGGGGAAGTCAGAAAGAAAGGTAGAGAGAGCGAGAGACACAGAGAGAGAGAGAGAGAGAGAGAGAGAGAGAGAGAGAGAGAGGGGGTAGCGAGAGAGACAGAGAGACAGAGAAGAGAAAAAAGGAGAGGGAGAAGGGGAAATGGAGAGAAAAGACACAAAAAGAGAGAGAGAGAGAGAGAGAGAAGGGAAAAAAAGGAAGAGAGAGAGAGAGAGTAGAGTAAATTAAAGTGGAACAGTTTCAGAATTTGTAAAAGACATTAAAGATGGAAATCAAGAAATACATTTTAAAAAAGAAAGAAAGAAGAGTAAAAACAAAAAAAGGGTAAAGGCTATGAAATACGAATAAGAGACAAATAACGGAAATAAGGGAGAAAAGAAAGTGAATTCTTAAGTTCTATATTTAAAGTCCCCACTTAGCCAAATTATTACAAAAGATGGTTTGGAACAAAAATGATTTTGCGATTGATTTGTAATCGTGAAGCATATTCTTTAAAAGTATATAGATAACAAAATAGTAATCTGACACTTTGATAAAAGACACGTTCTTCAAATATTATTGCTCAGTAAGCTATTGCACTGAGAATGACTAGTGAACATGGAATGTGATTTCTCAATATGATTATTATTGTGCATGTGAGTTAATGGCCAACTTTAACTAATATCATCTTATTTTAACCATGTATAATGCAATGTAAGCAAAATTGTATCTAAGTATATTATGTAGCTCATTGTAAGCGCCTTGAGCACGCTCTGTGTGGATTATGTTGCGCGTTATAAATGTCTGTATTATTATTATTATTATCTAATCATTCGATCAAAAATGACAATAAACAACATTTAAACAGTGGATTCATGGATCCATATTGGAAAAAGAGAGGAAGAGTGTTACAAATGATAATGCGGAATTTGATTTGATTTTTTTTTTTAAATATTTGTTTTGATATAATGTAAACAAAACAATTATGTAGGCTTACTTTTTTTTTCTTGTCCTCTTACCGAGGTGTTTTATTTCACATATTTCACATTTCATATATATTTACATCAATTTACATTTTAATATAATACAAAAAAGACAAAGTATTATTATTATTAACATTTCTTTAAAAAATTCTTTGTGTTTCGTCAATAAAAAACTTTGTTTATTTGCTAGGTAATATCGTAGTTTTAATTTGAAATTAATGAAGGCTTACTTAAGCGTACAAAGTACTAAAGCATAATTGTGAGAAAAGATAAAAAGGGATGATATATTTTGTAAAATATCGGTAATTATTTTGTGTCTTTAGTCTCCTATAAACCTTCAGATATGTACGATATTGTTTCCAAAATTGTGAAAATCGAAGAACAAAAATGCCTTAAAAAGATTTTTTTTTTTAAAGATAG